CCAGGTGAAGGGTGCAAGCTAGTGCACAACTCCTACCAAATGCAAAAAATGCATTTAGTTCTCTGCTAATGAGATTTGAGGAATGTAACAGGATGGTGCAAAGAAGTCCTGAGGGGCAAGAGGCAGCAAGATACAAGCTGAGCAAGGAAAATTCTGATTAACTGCAAGGGAAAAATCTTCACAATGCAAGTGGTGAAGCACTGTAACTGGGGCTCAGGCAGGCCAGGGCACCTCAGTCCTCATAGATGTCCAAAACTGGACCGGCCAAGTCCCTGAACAACCTGACCTAGCTTTGAAGTTGGCCCTGCTTTGGGCAAGGAGTTGGGCTGTATGACCTCCAGAGGTCCCATCCGACCTCGGTTACCCTGTGATTCTAGGAAGCTGGATGCCCGCTGCGGAATGAAGCCAGACCCAGTGCTTCATTTCAGAAAGGAACCGAGAGTGAAGATACGAAGGGCCTCCGGGGGGGACAAAGTACATCAAACTGTCCCTGGGTTCCACAGTGGTGGCAAAAGACCCACTGAAAGCAATTGTCTCTGCAATCCCCCATCGGCCTCCCCTGTAGAAAGGCCCGGGGAAAGATGAGTCGTGTGGCCCAGCGCTGCTGGCTTACTCTCAGGTTGACAGCGTTAAGAGATGTTTTTTGAAAAATCACCTTTTGCAGGGCTCATTGTAAAACTCCAGAAGTATTCACCATACCCAGGAACGCATCTGTGTTAAAGGAGGACGAATACACCACCCACAGCGAACGCTCCCCGAGGGGGCAGCGGAACATGTGAACGGACAACCAGAACCTTCCTTTGAAGCAGACTGAAGATCACAGGCCGTCGCTGGTTGCAGGTACTCCGTCTGCTTTGAGCTCTACTGACACATTTATTTTCGCCATGTAATGCTCCCGATTTCTGCTAAAAATAAATTACTGCTCTGTGGATCAGCACACTTGCATTGCTGTCATTGCTTCTATCATGCTTTCAGGAGATGATAGTTTAGTCTTGTCCTAGTCTTCCTGTTAATTCAGCACATGGCATGTGTTTGTCCCTGATTTTCCCCTTTGTTAGGCTTTTCTTTCCGCTTTCAAAACTTGTACAACTCTTCTATCTTTTTTTTTTTTCCTGCTCCAGGTTGGTATGGCAGCACGCCAGGTGGAAGTGTTTGATCTGTGCACGCAGTTTTGAGACGGGTTTTATGAGCGACTCCTCTTTCCAGCAGGCACAGGAGCAAAATGGCATTTCTGAAACACTGTGTGCAAAGATCTCGTAAAAATGTTAAGCAGTCAGGGGACATACAATCAACTGAAATATTACCCTCTGTTCCTGAACCGGTTTTCGGTAAAACTGAACCAATAAAATATTATTATGTTAGGCACAAGAACTTACTTAAACAAGAAGGTTATTACAAACACCTGATTTAAAATGAAAATGGATTTTGATGACCTGTAATGGAGTTTCTCTGGAAACGTGTGTAGAAAGCTTTAGGGTAACTACTGCAGCACGTCAACTGCAGTGATAATGCATAGCTGCCTATCGGTTCTGCAATGCAGAATTACCCACTGTCGGCAACAGGCACAGTAGACAAGAACTGATGTCTTTTGTTGCACTCAGATAATAATCCTTCCGTCCCAGGAAACAGTGAGACTATGCATACCTTGAAGCAGTGACAAGTAATTGCTTTTCCATCAATCCTTGATGTAAAATGTTAAACATGGAACAACATGTTTTTATTCATTAAAGCAATTTTTATTCTTTAAAATCAGCAAAAATGGACTGTTGCTCAAAGTGCACAAAAGGGTCTGGGCAGCAGCAAGATGAAGAAAAGGAAAACCTAACTTTCCAGTCAGATTGCAATGTCCAACTTCTGGCACACCAGCAAATTCACATCAGCTTGAGGACCAAAATGTCAGCCAAGCTTTAGTATTTTGTTTTTCATTTGTGGCATTTACATAGGGCTGCTAAGGCCAAAATCTCTTCGCACTCAGTATTTTAAAACTCAAATTCTGTCTTTTGTTCAAAGAGATACGTGGTAGCAACAGATACCGTGAGACAGGGAGCCACAGCTTCCAATACCAGCTCCAAAAGTATCTCCTCTCCTGGCCTTAAATCAGGAAGAAAACGGGATGAATAAAATAAATAAGCAGGGAGCTATGACACTAACCTTTCAGTTTCACAGCATGTTATGGGGAATTGAACTAGTGGGCACAAGATATTCTGAAGACCAAAAGTGCTAAATGCTAATTATTTTCTGGATTGTTTTTCTCAGTAGGCAACCCTACACAGCAACATTCTCTTCAGAAGTCAAACATGAATCCGCTCTACAAACCCTGCACTTCCAATCAGAAATAGGAGGTGAACAGCGGTGACTTCATCCCAACCCATTTCTGTATATCTACTCATACAACTACCACTCAAATACACCAAGGCACAGCTCTGTCTTCCCACAGCCTTTTCCCTTCTGATGGGGTAAGAAGATGCCTCAATTGTGTCATCTTATGTAGTCTCCAAGAAGAATTCTAAACTTGGGCGCTTTACAGTCACTCTTGCTGCAAGTAGAAAAATATGTAAATGGTTGTTGTTACAGCACACTCTGCCAAGCTACTTCTAACCATGCGCTACCGTTAGAAAGGAATGTAAATTATTCATTTTCCATGCCACTTAATGAAGCCTTTTATTTTATTCTAAAATAAGCCTCAAAGAGAAGATGATGGTGTACCGTCCTGGATAAACAAATAAATGTCACAAAAGTCACCCAGAACACCAATAAATGAACATTTTAATACTCTGTGCTTTCAACTACTACTGTGGAAGACTTGCATTTTTCAGGATGGCATCGTTTTATCTTTCTAGCTGGTTTTCACGTGGAGGGTCACAGGGCAGTACTTCCCACTCCCTTATATCCCAAGCAGACCTCCTGAGTCTTCTGGGCACTAAGTGCAGATTTTCCCTTTCCTCTACTGGTTTCAGTATACAGCTGTAAAAACAATAAAGGTGATAAAGACATAGTCAAAATCTATGTTTTGTCGCAGCTGCTAAAGGAATGCTAACTGCAACACTAAACAGGCTAGCCGAACATCTGCTGCCAACAATACGCAGCAAAGTGGGCATCCCAGCCACCCTGAAAATAGAAAGGCATGAGAGCACGTGCATCTACAGAGAAAGAGATAGAAATCAAAACCTTGTCGAATTTATATACTTTCCATATTCAAAAATTTACATGAAGAATAAGGCTGATTAAAGCATCTCCAAAGCGTACGCAAAACTGAGTGTTGCCCTCACTCAAGAGATGCGGAACAGGATCGTATCTAACAGATGGGAGAGAAAGGACAGAGCGCAGGCTGCAGCTCCTGCTGCACTGGTAGGAACAACAGGTGCTGCTCTTCTGGGGAAATACTGTTCCTTCTTGGTAGCCATTGCCCTCAAACCATCCTTTGCTGGCAGCAGCAGCAGCAAATGCGGCTTTCTCAGAAGCACAGGGCAGAGAGGTCCCTGGTTTTTGCACTCCATGGCAGCCTGCTTTGCCCGGAGTGATTCTGAAGCCAAAACACCAGGGAGCAACTGAAAAACAGAAAAACCAAGTGTTGCAGTATAGGCTTCAGTGTTCTCTTGCAGAGTTGCAGAGTTAACATGCTTTGTGACTGTTACAGGCACTTCACGAGCATTTCAAGGGAAAAAAACCCCACACTTCCCACTCTTTAAAATTAATTCAGACTAAAAGTCAATATGCCCTACAGAAGTTTTTAGACATTTTCCCATTTTCAGTTTCCTGAACAGGCAGAAGTTAAATGACTCTGACTCCTGAACTAAGCAGCGTGGGGAGCAGGTTGCTCCAACCGTGACTACGTAGCAGGGCTGCTCTCGCTGGACAACGGGACGAGCCACCACGGCTTCCCCTTCAGTTCCTGGACTTCGTGCCAGGCGCCAGCAGGAGGCCGGGGACAGCGCTTCTCCGGTTTTATCTGCAGATCACGGGTCATCACCTGCAACGGCGGCGCAGCGTTCCGGGAGGAGCTGCCA